TGTACTACATGATTTCAACAAACCCAACATGATTTCATTTTATACTTGTGTAGTTTGTAAATTTAAAACATTATACCTTTCACATCCATATAGTTCACAAACAAAAACTGAACCCAAAACAAAGGAACTCTTTATTCTCTTTCAAAAGTGAAACTAATTCCTTTGCAGAAAACAGAAGTGAAGATAATTAGAATGTTTGAGTCCAGGTAGGACATATGCATTGAAAACGAACCCACAAGCATAGATTTGCCACGTTGCTGTCACACAACAGAGGGAACTCCACCAACAAGCATTGTACAAATCGGGCTGGACTAACCTCCTCTATCATGGCCCAATAATGGACAAGCATTGAGCAGATTGGGCTGGACTAACTCCTCTATAACGACCCAATAATGGTGCTTTTGTCCAAGGCCCACCAGTTTCCGCGAGAATCGACTCTCCTACCGTGCGGTAGTCGGGACTACTTTCTATCGCACATTCATAAAACAAAATTGCTATTTATACCTTATACAATAAACAAGAAATTAATTTTATATTTACCTAAAATTTTGAGTTGGATTTTTAAGACAATAATATTGTATTAAAAAATTATAATTATACTACAATATTGTAAATTAGAGACGTTCATTCAAGGTAAATTAAAGCATAAGTAAAATAAATATAATTGTTAGCAACCCTATGTCATTTAAATTTTAAGTTCTCTCTCTACTCAACAATGTACTTAATTATCATCATCAAGCCAAGTATTTTCTTCTCCATCTAAAAATTTATCTGAGTTGAATTACTTAGGAAGCAAGTATATTTAATTAAAAAAAAGTACAAAATAAAATATATTTAAACAAAAATAGCAAAATCAATGTACTTCCAACCTCCATCTTATACCTCTACATTATGTTAAAGCAAATTTATGTACCTCTTAGACGTGCAAGTTATTCCCAACTCAAAAACTACTTGCTCAAACCTTCTCTTTGCTCAAAATATTGAGTCCACAAGCTACCGGTTCAATAAAATTTCAGTACTATCGTTAGAACTACTCCCTATAATAAAACGAACAATTAAGAAAATTCAGCTTTGTAATAATTTGTAGGTAAAATTAATAAATACTCAATTTTTAAACGTGAAAATATAAAGAAATGAATAAAAAAAATAGCACTGGGTAAAAGTCCTCCTCCTTGACAATAAAAAAAATGTAATTTTTTTATTTAAATTACATTAATTTTGTTATTAATTTTAAATCTGCATTATTTTATAATTTGTTTTTAAAACTACGTTATTGTTATTCTTAAAATTAGAATACATCAGCAGGTATATTGGTATTTGGTTGAGGATAAATTAGACGTTTTGCTAATTGTATATGGGTTGGGCTACAAAATTTGCTACTTTACCAAAATTAGATATTGTAGTTGCGAACTTTGTTATTTTCTATTATTTTGTTTTGTTAGGACTGCAACAGCCCTAATATTTTTAACATTTCAAATTAGAAAAGTTAAAAGGGAGAAAAATATGATATTTATTGGGCTCGAACTTGAACCTGGCAGGAGTTCACAGAATACACAATTGGTAAATTACTTGTCCCAACCCATTTGATGGATTGATGAGCTTTTCGCGGGTACGTTTTTTTTTTTTAATTTAATTTTTTAGAGTTAAATATAATTTTGGCCTCTAAAATTTATCTCTATTTTAAATTTAAGGATTAAATTTAAAGGTTTTATACTGGTCCCTCAGGTTTTAGTAAATTTTAAATTCAGTTTTTCCCGTTAAGATAGGAGTTAGGCTTAAAAAAGATGGACGTGATAGAATTAATATATTTATAACATGGGATGATAGTACAAAGATTTAATAAATTACTCGTATTAGAAGTTTAGAAAATATAAAGGTTTTTTTTTAATAAAAAAAGATAGACAGTTAAAACGAGTCCAATAAGCTTAAAAAAAAGGTTGGAAGCCAATGGTAATTAACATATACCTAAAACCATGAGGTTGTAAGTTGGAGGGGTAAAAAAAAACTAGTCTGTCACCTGGGTAAAATTTTATTAAATTTAATTTTTTTTTTTGATGCTCAACATTTTTTTTTCATAATTCTCTTAAACAAATTACTTTCTGGTTCTGAAATTTTTTTCTTCCTCAATTTTTTCTTCCTCAATTTCTCTATACAAAATTTATTTTTCTCCCTCAAACTTTCACATTTTAGATATTTATTATTATTTCTCTATCTCCATAATTTTAATTTTTTTATGTATTTTAATTTTTATTCTTTTTATTCCAACAAACCACCCACATTTCTCCCTAAAAATTTAATAATTTCTCAAATTTAAWATTTAATATTTTCTCAAATTTTTATTAAATTCATTTAGGAGAAATGAGAGAATGAATTAAATGATGAATTAYCCTCTATWTTTTCTTTTTTTCGCCCTAAAACTTGGACCATATGATTTTAAGTCAAATGTCATTTGACATAATCTAACGAAGTTGGACCAATTTATGTCACACATGGCGCAATCCTCTGGTGGACCAATTTATGTATATGACACAATTTGATTGATCCCAAAGATAGACATGTGAAATTATTTAATTAGTTTTTCCTTTTTCTTTTTTTGTGTATTTTAATCTAAATATATTTGTGAAATTCTAATTGGTTTTAATTGAATGACAATTTAAATACCTCTTTGAGATTCATGCACAATATGTGTGGGTGAATGTCGAAAAATAGTTTGAAATCAAATTGTATGATATTACTTAGGGTTTCGATTCTCTCTAGTGTGCCAAATCATCCAAACTTAAATTTTCTTTTATTTGGGATAAAGGTTGAAGTATGCCCAAATTTAAATTGTATTTTTAGTTATACTCGAATAAATACAAAAGGATGGTCCAAATAGCTATAAATTTAATACAAGAAAAAAAAAAAAAAAGGTTTCATAGCACCACAAAAAGCACGTAGCTACTGAATTAAGATTAATGTTGTATATATATGTATATGAAGAAGGAAAATAGTTGTTTGTTTAATTAGCAACGGGTAAGTATAGAATGGATAGGCATTGAGAGTTGAGAAAATAAGAATCAAGTTGTGGTGTTGTTGGTAGAAGAAGACCTTTTGTTGTGTGAGAGCAATTTGGCGAACCTGACCAAAGCTTGGCGATTGGTTTCAGAGGGGTAACCCTTGTGCACTGCATCCTTCATATAAAATATCCCCTCCTTGGAGACAGGCTTGTCCAACAACTGTTCGCCGAATTTTACGAGTCGCTTAAGATTCTTGGTAGTGGCCATGTCTACCGATGCTGATGCTAGGATTTCACTGGGCACTTCTTCGTGAATACGAAGATAGTAGGCTTCGGATTCAGTACCTCGAAAAAGGATGCCCAGATTTACATCCCCATTTTGTGAAGGATGACAAAACATATCTTCAATATCTTGAGTGGAGGAGCAGGGTATTCTCAGGCCGTGTTGCTGTTTGGGGAATCCACTTCCGAGAGATATCATCAGAAATTTTCTCCTATGCACTACTGATCGGAAACCCTTGAGCCTCTCGAATGTCCCCAGCACGGCCTGTAAGTAATTCATTCATTCATTAATTCATCATAGAAACACAGCTAAATAAATTTCCTACCAGACTATTTGCACAAGTTCCAGTATCAACGAGATCGAACTCTTCCGTCTTCCCCTGATGGTGAGTCTGGAAGCGATGGGAAGGTAATTGAGGAGGCCGAGATGCAGATGTCAGACAGAAAAGCATTAAGTAGGGAATTTTTCTGCAAAATTAAACAAACCCCCCTACATTAATTACTTGTTAAATTCAAATTATTGATCAATCACACCCGAACCGAACAAACACATCTAGAACCAACCTCAAAACTGGAAAATACAGTGCCACACTCGCGCTCAAGGTCGTATGTTGGTACTACAAGGTTAGTGATGGTCTGATTTAGTTTGGTGTTTCCGAAAGTTTTCTGAAGCAGAGATCGGAGATAATCGTTACCGTACTTTCGACCC